CTGCGGCCGTGACTGGGAGCGGGGCGCGGTTCGGAGGCGAGGAAGAGGAGGTGCGCTTAAATGGGGCAGCTCCCTGCCAGTACGAGCATTAAAAACGATGGTCTCAAATGTGCGGTTAGTGGCTATCCATGATGGGGGGAGGAAGCAACTAAACGTTGCGTTTTCTAATAAACCTCCCCGAGAGCTGCTTTTTACGTCAGGTTCCACATTTGGAGCTGGTGATGCCAAACGTCTGCATCCAGGACGCGCCTCAGGTCACCAGGCGCTTCCCTGAACCGCGGAAAGGTTTTGCTAAGCTCCTGGGAGGACATTACTGCAGTTTAGATCAGTGCTTGGAGGAACGGACGAGAAGTTTTGAAGGCAGGTGCACTGCTCGTTTGAGTGGGCAGAGGACAGGGCAGGAGTTTGCCGGCCGTCAACTGAGAACTCAGTTTTGTCACGCACCGCACCGTATGCTGACGTATGACTGTCAAGTATGCTTGACTGTGAGATATCGTTAATATTAACAAATATGCTTTTTATTCTTTCAGCTTGTGGCTTTTGCAACATTCGTCTGCTTTGCCGCCTCAAGATCCCATGAAGCATATACAGCGCTTGCAATCATGGAAGTTGTCATCACTTTATTATTTTTTCTACTGTATTTACTAAAACTAGATAAAAAGATGAAATGGCTCTTTTGGCCTTTAGCTGTAAGTATTGGTTTACCCTTTTAAAAATGAAGTGTATTTTACACATTTTGTGATTTGTGCATGGACACATGCAAGAAAGCATGTTCACAGAGGTTATTTTCAATCAATCAGTTCAATCACTGTTTCTATAAAGATGAAACAAAAGTAGTATGTAATTGTTTATACCAGTTTTGCCTGGCAGAGATAATAATGTTCTTTAGCATAGATTTTATATAGTATGTTTATCCCACTTAACAGTCAGTCCTCTAATGAATTTCATTGGCTTTTCTTTATTATATTGTATTGTCACGTTCCCCATCACAAATTGAACATACATTTGTATTTAAATATTAATGAGTTCTCCTCTTACCTTCCTTTTTAAAAATTACTTACTGTTTTAATCTGTCAAGTTACACCCAAGCTACATAGATTTCACTGCTAGAAAAATCAAATGAAGAAAGGTAAAGTGAGGATATTAATTCATCAATGTTTTTTTAACATCAAACCACTGGGTGTCACTATAGATCATAACTGCCTATTAGTTTAATCCTGTTTTCATAGTAAAACAACTGTTTTTTAATGGCTCATGCTACATTCATGTTCTTCTTGAGATATGTATGACAGAATAAATACTTTGTTTCCATTGGCTTTTTCAGGATATTTTCAACTCAGTGGTTGCAGCCGTGTTTCTCCTAGTTGTGTGCCTGTTCGCGATAATAATCAAGACGAATTACGGGACGCTGGTTGGGGGAGTAAGTAGGAGAATTACTAATGAATTTATTAAATTCTTAAAGTAGGCATGATTTGAATCTTTTGGTATACCAAAACAACCCCGTCATGGAAGGATAGACTCAGAAGTCAAAAACAGAGGAAAGTCAATAAGCAATTAGTCTATCTCACTAAAAAAAAAAATCTAGTAATAGAACTAGTTATTATTAAGAAATTGTTGTTCTCTCCATTTTTCACATAATTATCCTCAAACAACTAGTAATTTGAACATATTACTAGATTTAGGACTTACTAGTTCAACTACAACTGCTGAAAGCTATTAGAAATAAATCTATCTGCGTTTACTTGCCTAACTTGAAATTCTAGTAGGGTAATCCATAGTTTTTCACAAATATCCAGTTTGGTTACAGTCTTAATAAAGAAATGCCTAATAATTTTTAAACAGAGTTGAAGCTTTTTAACAGACCTGCTGATGATATTTTCCTTCTGATTTGTATATTATTTTTTCTGACATAACTGAGGAAATTACAGCAGTTGAAGTGGTCATTTCATGCTATGAATAAAAAGATGTTTGTGCATTTAAGATCAATCCAGTTTACTAGTTCAAAAAACTTGTGTTTTTAACTTGAAGGAAAACCAATGCAATTAGCATTAGCAACCAATAAGAGAATAAAAACTCAATTTTGAAAGTATTTGCTTTTCCTGAAATAAAAGCTAAGCTAAAATGTAACAACAGCAAATTAACAGAACTTGATGCGTAAGTTTTTCAGAATCATCTTAAGAGCCAGAAAGGTGCAAAGCTATTGTCATGTGCTGCTGACAACTAAAGCAAAGAGGAGACTTTGTGATAAAGTGACTGACTATGCTAGAACATGATCTGTATTCTCAGTAGTGAACATAACTTATATTCTTAGCAGTGAAATTCATAGAAATTAAATTGAAAGCAGGAGACCAAGCAGATAGCTTAGAAAAACAAGTTTGGCCAAAATATATGACATCTTTAATGCTGGGAGAAACAGAATTGCCCTCAGGCATGTGCTCTTTGGGCGCAAACTGTCTTGAACTGCTCTTTCCTGGAAAAGCTTACCTTAGCGTTTCTCACCAGATCAGATAATTCAATTTTAAAATATCAACATGCTTGAATAAAAAAGTGTTGTATGCATGAGGGATCAGGCTGAAGGACAAGAGCTGAGAAAGTAAACTCTCCAGTGAATCCTAAAAGTTAATGTTTTAAGGACACCTCCTTTCTCCAGTTGCCTGCCTGAAGCTGTATTATCTATTTTTTTTAATGTTTATATATGTTTTCCTCACTTTCAAGTATGTGTCTAATTTAGAGCTGCTGAGGAGACAGGCAGTATTTTTTTTCCTTCTAGGCCTGTTTCTACAAATGTTGACTTGACTCCTGGTCAAAACTATTAAGTAGAGCAGCCTGTACAGAAACTGAAGAATTTTCATTTTGGATAAAAGCATTGTCATGCGTAATGCAGCGCTAGCGTAGCTTTCAAGGAGGACACATCATTTCCAGCTCTTCAAACATCAAACAAAACCAGGGTGTAGATTGTTGCTATCACATCAAAAGAAAATCACTTATATGAAAGGTTTATGGGAGTTAAATATAGAGGTTAGTTAATTTATCAGTTGCCTCAAATCATACGTATATTTAGAAGGCAGGACCGGCTTGGAGAAATGTAATCACTGCTTCTCGGGGAAACGATAGATGAGTCACTACAGTAAAAGAGGTTATAAAATTTAACAGGAGGCTCTTCGGAGGAAACTAACATTATTATTATTACTTGTAGGTGTTTGGCCTTCTATTGTTTCTTCTGTGCATTGTAGATGCGGTTATTCTTTTCCAGAAGATCAGTCTTAGTGGACCCAGAGGAACGAATTATCCTACCAGATGAGAAATAGCTATTTTAGCTAAAGAATAATTTCTCAGCAAGACATTCATGTTACTGTTTTCCTCTAAAGAATTTGTATTTTCATGTGTTCACCTTTGAATTTCCTGCATATTTTTCCTACGTTTTCACAGGTATTGTTCATAAGTATTAATACTTCTTACACTTAAGTATATTTTCTCAATGTTGCAGTTTCACTGGTTCAAGCATTGCAGAAGTGCCCTGTGTGCTTTCCTAGACTTAAATACGTTTTCGTCTGTGGGAACAATGAATCTTATTATTGTCTTCTTCCTGTAATAAAAATGAAAATACAAGTGGGCCTAAGTGCGTTACTGAACATTATTAAATACACTTAAAAGTAAACATGACTTGATGGGGTACGCCAGCAAACAGCTTGGGAGGCAGGTTTCCTCACCCTTACTTCCGTGCCTCGTTCTGTACATCGGCCTGCTGCCTCAGCGGTGGCTCAGGCCGCCTGTTTTAGGGCCGGGACCTTTTCGTCGTCGGGCGGGGCCGGGAGCAGCGCGGAGGGGAGCACGCCGCCGCCCGGGGCGCGCGCCGGCGGCCGTTACCTCC